TTCTTCATTTTTGTGTGACTCATGCAAACATATGCTCTTGGTAAGATGGAGCATGAACTTTGGCTGACTCCAAATGTAATGTTTTTCCTGATAAAATACAACTAGGGTTAAACAAACAAACAAACAAACAAACAAACAAACAAACAGTGTGTTTTCTTTATGTAGTGCTTTTAACTCTCCTCCCTAGCATTAGTTAGGTAGGAAATTCAGAATTGGAATTCAAAGGGAAAATGTCCATTCAGGCCAAAAGATTATTTTAAGAGGCATGAAGAAGTGAAAAATGTATGAGGAATTTTATTACGAAATGCTACAGCCACCGTCTACCTCAGTCCATGCTCAGGATCAAGATTCAATAATCTAAGCCATGTGGGCCACGTAATGAGGTGATAGAGCAAGAAATCAGAGTTGCGCTCTAAGAGATTAGGATTCAGGTCAGGTTTTCGCCCACTCGCCAGTCTAAAACCGCCTTCCATCAAAGCAGAAAATTCTGCCCCCCACCTCAGGTGTTTGCTTTACTGAAGGCAAGAAGTCCTGGGTCCTAAGGAGATCCTGTGTCTGCTCTTAAAAGCTGGCAGGGCAAAGAGGGCCAGACAGTCTTAATAGAGAATTTCTTAACTTAATTGAGGTTGGGTTTCAATTCCAGTCTTGGAAGAAGCCGTATCTCTCTAACCATCTCCCTTGTCAATGCACACATCTCACCCTAGGCTGCTTGTTGAGAAGTATGAGAAGGAGAAAGGTCCCTAACTATGCGAAGCCGTGGTTCTGATCCACACTGTATGGTTTAAAAGAAATTTAAGTTCACTCCTGGAATCTTTCCACATGTTCTTGATATATAGTGAATCACAAAATAAATAAAAGTCCTCATTTGGAGAGGTCAGTGTCCAGGCAAACTATGAGAGACAGATTGGCTCAAGCTGATGGCCTTCCATTTTCCTCTGTATAGTCATAACTTAAGAAATTACATACCACTTTGGACAGGTTGCTTCCAAAGTACAGGGGCGGTTAGAAAGCACAGCACTGTGACTCTGGCATGATATTCTGGTTGATTTCTCAGTCCTCTCACCACAATTTGCATGTGAAACTGAGAACAGCTTTTTCCCCGATGACAAGGGCTCCATATGTGCAGAACTTTTATGTTTTAGTATCCCTTCTCACCAGCCCATCCTGGCCTCTTGACCGGCTACATCAGTGTTAATACAGGATGATAGTAGCTTCAGAAGAGGATTGGACAATGAAAGAGAGTGCGAGGAAAACGCCCAGATACAGCCCCAGAAAAAAATCAGAGTCACAGAATGGGCCAGAATCAGACAGTAGGTAATCTCAAGAGAAGACTACTCAAGTGCAACAGAGGCAGAGGCAGAATCATAAGCAAATCTAAGGTCTAAGTCATAAGGAGTTAATAAGGAAGCAAAGCAGAGAAGTCAAGGGACAGGGATAGTCGTTACAATAGTCTAGTTAAACTCCAAAAAACAGCAGGAGATCCTCTTGTAGAAGCCCTAGTTCCTTGATCCTTTGGCCATGACTCTTCACTTTGAGACCAAGCTTTGCAACCCCGAATTTCAGAAATAGAACCACCGCTGCCAGTACTACAGCAGGAATGACGGCAACACATACATTGATTGGCTCTGCTGCCAGAGCGGCACAAGTCCGGAAAGAGAGTTGGTCCTGACATGTCAGTGATGAGGCCTGTGGGAAGAGCTAGGAAGGAAACCCCAGGCATGGGAATCGCCAGGCTCTGTGTCCACGCTTGTGTTCCTTGGCCTTACTCCTACTGTCTGCTTTAGCTCTTTATATTTTCTTATTCCTAGTTAAATACTAATTTAATGTTTTCATTTTTGAGGTTTTTGTTTGTTTGTTTGTTTGTTTTTTGAGACACAGCCTTGCTTTGTTGCCCAGGCTAGAGTACGGTGGCATGATCCCGGCTCACTGCAACTTCCTCCTCCTGGGTTCAGGCGATTCTCCTGCCTCGGCCTCTCGTGTAGCTGAGACTACAGGTGCCTGCCACCACACCCAGCTAATTTTTCTATTTTTAATTGAAACGGGGTTTCAGCATGTTGGCTAGGTGGGTATCGAACTCCTGACCTCAGGTGATCCACCTGCCTCGGCCTCCCAAAGTGCTGGGATTACAGGTGTGAGCCACCAAGCCCAGCCTCTTTTTGATTTTTAACTGCATTTTTAAAAAAATTACAAAAGTACTGCATGATCATTGTAAAAATTCAAGGAACTTAAGAGTATACAAAGTACAAAGCAAGACTGTCATTCTCACACTCTACTCCCACTCCCCAGCAGAAACCAATGATAACTATTAGACTTGTATACCTTCAGAATTTTTCTAGGTTATTGTATTTTTGAGTATGGTCACACTGTATATATTATACTACAACTTCCTTTTTTTATACCCAGTCACACATTACAGACACCATTCCATTTTAATATAGATGTATCTATCTCATTCTTGTTGATGGCAACACAGCAATCATAGCAGAAATATGTCAAATGTATTACTCACCCCCTATCAATTTTATTTTATAATGTTGCCATGAACATTGTAATACAAGTACTCTTGCCCACTTGTACAAGGATTTCTATAGTATAAATTCTTAGAAGCAAATGGCTGAGTCAACAGGTATGTATGCATATTAAAATTTTTGAGAGGTCCTGACAAATCACCTTCTTTGTTCCAGTTGATACTTTCACTAACAGTGTTTGTGAGACCCTTTACACCCTAATCATCACTGGATGCTACTGTTTATTTCATAAACCAGAGTCTGATTTGATTTACACTCCATGGTTTTTTGTTTTTGTTTTTGTTTTTTTTGAGACAGAGTTTTGCTCTTGTTGCCCAAGCTGGAGTGCAATAGTGGGATCTCAGCTCACTGCAACCTCCATCTCCCTGGTTCAAGCAATTCTCCTGCCTCAGCCTCCCATGTAGCTGGGATTACAGGCGTGCGCCACCATGCTGGGCTTTTTGTATTTTTCATAGAAAGGGGGTTTCACCATGTTAGCCAGGCTGGTATCAAACTCCTGACCTCAGGTCATGCACCCACCTTGGCCTCCCAAATTGCTGGGATTGCAGGTGTGAGCCACCACGCCTGACCACACTCTAGGATTTGATAGTTATGAGCCTAGCCCTAATCTTTTCGTTCTGAATGCTGCCCTGGCAGGCTAGAAACCCTAGTGTAGGCTTCTTGGCTTCTTCTGCTAATAGTACTCTTGCATACACTGGGGATTACAAAAAATTTGATACTAACAATTTCATACATTTTACAGTTTACATAGTATCTTCCCTAACTCTTTCATTTGATCCTCACAAAGTTTCTGTTAGGTGTGTAGGGAGGAAATTTTTATCCTGATGACTCAGACTGGCTTTCTTAAGTTCATGTAGTTAATAAAGGAAAGAACTAGGACTTGAATATAAGTTGGCTAAGTTCAAAATCTGGGTTCTATCTGCCATGTCCCCCTCTTCCTCTTTGGAACACATAACCATCAAAACGTTTGTGTTTCTATCAATTGCTTTCTATTCGTTTGAGATGTCCACAATCTCCAGAGCAGCTCAAGTTTGTTGATTGTTTGGATAGATTTGGGGCTGCTATAATTTGTGACTTAGAGTATCAAGGTTACTTATAAAAATGTTTTTGCAATTTCAATATTCTGGTATGTAACCCAAGATGACCCAGGGCAACATCTCCAGGAGAAAATGCCTGGCAGGGTGCTAAGAGGCCTCATGATGACCTTATCTAGTAAGTGTCAGTGCTGGAATTGGAACCAGACCTGTCAGACCCCAAAGCCTAAGCCTTTTACATTTACTCTATGCTCTTCCTCATATCGACCAAGATGCTCAGGGCAGAAGATCAATGCATTCTTTCCTTATAGGCAAATTTCAAGAGAAGGCAAAATTCTCAGAAGGTTGCATGCTGAGCATGGAATCATAACAAGGAGAGTTCGGGGTCTTAAGAAATGAATTTCAGCTCAAGTAACTGAACGCATACTTACCCATTAGGGAGTCACACATTCAAAATCCAACAGATTCAGAAGAGTGTAACGTAGATGAGTGAAGCAGGTCAGGGAAGAGGTGATGACGGGGAATCGTGGGGACTGTGCCGGCTGGAGAGTACAAGCCCTTCTGGAGGAGGAAGCTGTGGCTTTACAGCTCCAGCCCACTGTGGCCAGCCTGGTTAATCCAGTCTTCCCAATTTTTCAAGAAAAGCTAGATACATGGATTTTTCTATCTGAAATTGGTTGACAACTTATTCAATTTTAAAAAACAATATGTCTCAATACAGTGTGGACCAGACTTGATCAACCAGCTGCTGGGCTGTGAAGTTTTACTATAGGTAAACTTTTGCCAAGAAAACCTCAATTCTCCAAGCCATTTAAAAATGGCTTCTTCACCTCTAAAGAAATCGAGATCAGCATTCTTCAGATTGTCCTTTTTATCCTTTAGGGCCAATTTCTGTTGTCAGTCATTCTCCAGAGAGAATACAACACATTTAATTCTATTTCCTCATACTAAAATACACTTACATTTCAGTCATATCTTGGAGGATTCCCATTTCAACTTTTGATTAGATTCACACTTACATAGCATGAATTGTTCTTTTGCATTTTTATTGCTACCATTATTATTTTTGGAGCTGTCATTCTTATGCTAGATGGCATTGCTGCATTGAGTGTGAATTTTACTGATTCGCTTCCCAGAGACACACCAATTTCCAAGTCCTCAGGGGTCTTTTACTGCTGTTGTGTTGTGGGGGGCAACAAAATTATTTTGCCTTTTCAGACATTAAGAAATTGTTTTTAAGTACATACATAACTTTATTGCCTTACAGATTGTTCTTTAGTGAGTGATTTATTCTCCTAAGAGAATCTGGTGAAGAAACTGAACAGCTTACAGGAGAAGAAGGAGACAATGGGACAAGCTCTTCTAGATACCACAACAAGCAAGAGAGTTGGGCTGGATTTTAATCAAAATAAAGTCTGAACTTTTCTTCCCATTTCAGTGACGCTGAATTGATCCTTCTCCTCTCCAAATGGAGATATGGCAGCTCCTGTCTTATGTATCCCGGTTGCCTTCAGGACCCAGAAACCATTGCTGAAAAGTGGAGGAGGAGGGAAGGTACCCAGAGAATGGAAGGTAGCTCTGCCCTTCCTCAGGCACACCATGCTAATCCTTACACGGCACTATAATGTATCAGGTACATTTCCAAAAGAAATCAACTTGTGAATTTCATAGCATGTGGGCATGAGGACTTCCCCAGCATATTCAGTCATACTCCTAACCAACTAAAAAGACTATCTTAAGTTAACAAGTGTAGGTAACATTATAAAAGTATTATTTTCAAGACATCAGTTCTATTTAAAATTTTTTTTCTTTTTCTATGTATTAATTTTTCTTTATTTTTATTTTTAAATTTTTTGAATTCTCTTTTCCTTTTTTTAAAATCTTTGATTTATTTTCTGTCTTCACAATCTGTTCTCATGTAAATCAAAATTTACTAATCGGACGACCATTTTGCCTTTAGTATTGAGACATGACACACAGTGACAAGTTACAAAATGATGACATTCATCTAGAATCTAAATAGCTAAGAATCTAAAGCAACCAGATCTTTATCTCTCCCCACATCATCTGGAACAGTGACAGTGATGCCCACTCAAATGAGCTTGATCTCTTCTAAGATTCTAAAAGTTACCTGAATCATGATAGCGGTGGCTCACGCCTGTAATCCCGGCACTTTGGGAGGCCGAGGCGGGTGAATCACGAGGTCAAGAGATCGAGACCATCCTGGTCAATATGGTGAAACCCCGTCTCTACTAAAAATACAAAAAATTAGCTGGGCATGGTGACACATGCCTGTAATCGCAGCTACTCAGGAGCTGAGGCTGGAGAATTGCCTGAATCCAGGAGGTGGAGGTTGCGGTGAGCCAAGATAGTGCCATTGCACTCCAGCCTGGGTAACAAGAGCGAAACTCCGTCTCAAAAAAAAAAAAAAAAAAAGATTTATTTTTGCTATATAAACTATGTCCATTATTTTTACTGTATGCCAATTCTTTGAAAATTAGAAATCCAAAATAAAAGACTTCCCAGTGCAGTCCTAGCAAGAAAATTCCCCACATTTGCTTCTTGACAATTCTACCAGATTACCCACAATTTTGGGGGGTTTCTACTCCTTAAACCCAGGCAGTGAAGAGCATGGCTAAACAGACATGGGCTCAAATCCTGTCCACTTACACCTATCATCTTGGGTAAGTTGGTTAACTTTCTGAGTTCAGTTTCTTTAAGTGAAAATTGAGAATAACAATATCTACCTCATAAAGAGTTGGTGTGGGGATTAAACGAGGTAATGTGTAAGAAGAGCACGAATATAATAATCCTTTAATAAACGTGGCTGCTAACATCCTTTCCAACTCAATCACCTGTTAGAGGGCAAATTAATGGCAAGGAGGCATATCAAAATGCATTCTGCCCCGAAGGAACCATCTCCTTTGCTGGAGAGAAGCTGCAAACACCCACGAAACACCGAGACCAATCTAAGACCCTTTGCAGGAAAGAGCTTAAGCGACCAGCATAGGATGTCAGCGTTGCAGGCACTGAGAGACATTCTCACTCTTCCATTTTCACATGGTCTCCATTGAGGAGGAGCAGAACTCGGACATAGGAGACCAAGCTCGCGATCCTCCTACCCAGCATGCTTTACAAGGGGCAAGCGGCAGGCTGGGCCTCACAGCCAGCCGGGGATAGTGGATACAATTATCTCCAAGCCCTTTGAAGCTCCAGTCAGGAATATCTGTTGTCACTATCACATGTGATTAGGGCAGCCACGTCCGCCTGCAGAAGACAGAACTCTTTGTACATCACCCTCCCTCCACCACCGGTAGGGATCAGGAAGCTGGAAGGAGGATGTCTGGCCTCTCTGCTTTTGGTCCAATTTCACACATCGGATTCTCTGCATTAATAAATTGGTTACATTTGCCCAGCATTTGGCAGGCAAGGTTTCCAATAACACTCTGATCCCTTCAGAGAACATGAATCGCTGGCATGCAGGGTGCTCTGGTTACCTCCTCCCCCCGCTCTCTACTGCTAAAAGTCCTACACATTAGCAGGGGTCAGGCGCTTGCCTGGGCCAGGGCAGTCTAGGACGAGGGCCATGGCTTCGAGGCACTGTCACAGAGCTCAAAGAGTTTTCTCTCCAGAGGGAAAACAAATAAGTTTAGGCCCAGGCAATGTGCAGCTTTCTTCAGCTGTCAATCCTACCTGGTTTGCATACAGATTGAGAAAATGTGTGATATTTCACCGCAATAATCAGTCCGGAGAATTCAAGGGGGTTGGTGGTGGGTGGAGAGGGAATGGGAGAGAAAAAAATGTGTGACGCAGATGTCCGAGAGTCCCATGCTATCCTGACATGCTCCCTTTGTTAAGCCAACAGTCTTTGGGCATGGAGAGCCTGCAGGGAGACTGTGTAGAACGTATGTACGTTGCTCTGAGGCAGCCTTTCCTAGCGCCACAGAGTGAGGCTCTGGGAAGCCCCCCGAGCAAAGAGAAGCCCTTGGACTGAGAAGAGGCCCAGGGTTGGGGTCCAGCAACACCTTCGGCCTTGGCGAGCCAAGGATGAGGAGCAAAGCAAGGGGGCAAAAATGAGCTAAAAGAACACTAGCCAACCTGGGACAGACCGAAGGAATCAAAAAGGAGGAAGAGAAGGAGAGGGTATGGAAAAAGAAACAAGGAAAATTGAGAAGAGAGGGAGAAGGAAGGAATTCGATTGAATTCAATAGATACTGTATGTTAGTCTGTACCAGGGAGAAAAGAGTGGGGGGTTTTGTTTTGTTTTTTCTGAGACGGAGTCTTGCTCTGTGGCCCAGGCTGGAGCGCAGTGGCGCGATCTTGGCTCACTGCAACCTCCACCTCCCGGGTTCAAGCTATACTCATGTCCCAGCCTCCCGAATAGCTGAGATTACAGGTAAGCGCCAACACACCCGGCTAATTTGTGTCTTTTTGGTAGAGATGGGGTTTTCCCTTGTTGACCAGGCTTTTCTCAGACTCCTAGGCTCAAGCGATTCTCCTGTCTCAGATTCCCAAAGTGCTGGGATTATAGACGTGAGCCGCCACGCCCTGCTGAAAAGAGTGTTTTTCACAGAGCAAGTGTATGTGGAATCCGGTTCCTGCTTGCAGATATCAGGCTCATACCTGTAATCCCTGCACCTTAGAAGGCAGAGGCAGGAACATCACTTGAGCTCAGGAGTTGGAGACTAGCCTTGGCAATGTAGGGGAGCCCCATCTATACAAATATACACATTGTTTTTAAATTAGCCAGGTGTGGTTGTGTGTGCCTGTAGCTCCAACTACTCAGAAGGCTGAGGTGGGAGAATTGCTTCAGCGTGGGAGATTGAGGCTGCAGTGAGCCGTGATTGCGCCACTGCACTACACGCTGGGAAACAGAATGAGACTTTGTTTCAAAACTAAACAGAATCAGCCACACAACTCGGTCCTGTAGCAGTTCACGACAGCGTTTAATTCCAGACATCAATGCCATGAGGTATGATAAGGAGAAAGATGATGGTGGGGGGACTTTGTGGAGGTGGTGAGTCTTGAGACGGTCCAAGCAGAGTGGGTGCCATTGAGGCAGCAGAGGTACGGGGAAGGCATTTCTAAATGAACTTGATACTGCAGAGAGGGAAGAGGAGGGGAGAGGGTAGAGAGTAAGCAGTGGAAAGACAAATGAAAAGGAAGACAGAATAAAAAATGAAGAGGGGCCCAGACTGCCACTCCCAATCGCCATAAGCCACCTTCCCTTACCGTTAGACCTTTTCATCCAAAGGAATTGCAATTAGAAGCTTCCTATAGGATCCTGGAAATGCCGGGATCCACCAACCCAGAAGCCCAGCTCCAGGCCCAGAGGGAAAAGAAGGAAAGAGGGCTGGTGCTCGCTGAACTTTAGAAAACCTTCCCCTTTCCTGCTGACTCCAGGCCCGCCTCACTGCAGAGGTCCCCAGTCAGCGGATCTGGAGCCACCACGTCTCAGAGCTTCCCATGGGAGAGTCCCAAGCTGGCCATGAAACAGACCACCATCTGTCTCTCTGCCATATCCTTCTCTCTGTGGTTTCCAGGATTTCCCAGGAAGAAAGGATATTTTTCCTGTTTTTTTCCCAGCATTTTATTTTGAAAAATTTCTGTCTTAACAAAAGTTGAAAATATGTTTCACCAGTTATTAACATTTGATTCCCTATGCGGTAGTGTACTAATAATACACGGGATCTAGGGGAGGAGAAACCCTCGTTTGTATTAATTGCCAGTTTCTGTGGTGTAAGAATTTCCACCGTGGATGATTTTGAGTAAATAGCAACTTAACAAATGGCTTGCAAATTTCCTAAGTATTTTATCTCCTCTTGAGAGCTGGTAAGAGTCGGCTGTAGTATATCACATTTTTTTTCTGAACTATTTAAAGTTGCAGATATCACTACACTGAATCAAATACTTCAGATGCATCTCCCAAGAATATAACATTTCTCTGACATAATCACATTAGCACACTTGTGAAAAAAATTAGCCACACTTTTCCTAATATTAGCTAATATACATTTCCCACTAAAATTTTCCAAACTGTCCCCAAAATGTCTTTTAATAGCATTTTTTTTTTAAAAAAAATGACAATCTACTCAAGATTATCAATTGCATTTGGTGTTTTGGTTAGTGTTTTTATTATTATTATTTTATTATTTTTATTTATTTATTTTGAGACAGGGTCTCACTCTGTCACTCAGAGTAGAGTTCAGTGGTGAGATCTCAGCTCACTGCAACCTCTGCCTTCTGGGTTCAAGCGATTCTCATGCCTCAGCTACCTAAGTAGCTGGGATTACAGGTGAGTACCACCACACCTGGCTAATTTTCGTATTTTTAGTAGAGACGGGGTTTCACCATGTTTCCCAGGCTTGTCTTGTATTTCTGGCCTCCAGTAATCTGCCTGCCTCAGCCTCCCAGAGTGCTGGGATTACAGCTGTGAGCCATCGAGACCAGTAGTCAGTTTCTTTTTAAAAATTTTAATTTTTGCTAATGAATGATTGTATATTGATGGAGTAAAGAGATGTTTTGATATATGTATACACTATGCCATTATTACATCAATCCATTTCACATAGCTATCACTTCATATATTTATCTTGTTTCTGGTAGTGTGTGCATTTAAAATCTATT